AAAAAAAACCAGCCATTAGATAAAAGCGCCAAAAAAGCCCCACTGAAGTGCCCAATCTATACAGATGCTGTGGAGCCAAGTTGAACTAATGCACTGCCTCTTCTGGTAAAGCCCTGCTGTTTTTTTTCGGGTCTGTCAGCAGCCTCTGTGTCCTACTTCCCACATGAGGGAAAAACTTCTTGGATACGCCACTAGGTCAAACTCAGTTTCCTAGTCTCTTTGTCCAGTTCCCAAAGGGTGCAACAATCCACCCTTTTGCTTGTTCCCAGGGAATGCTTTTGGATTGTGCAAAGCCATGGTTTATTTGTTCAGTGCCATTTGTTAACATCATGTTTGCCTTTTCTGTAATACTGTTCTTAAAAATAAAGGAGCACCCAGCATACACAGCAGATTTTTCTCAAACAAGGAGAATCATCTGCTGGAATCATTTGAAGTACTACTCATCAGGTAAATGACAGAGAAGAAGAAGAATATTCGTCTTTGTTTCACATGCAAGTGTTCCCAAAAAAACACCAATTAACCACAAAACAATCTCTACAGAATGATATATGACATGCTAGATATGCACCTCATAGACTTCATATAGAGAGCATAAGCCTTTGTGAACTTGGGCTCACTTGTGTACAAGCTGTTATTTAACAATTATTGGGCAACAGAAAAAAAGAATTAAGGAAACATTTTAACTTCTCCAGAAACACAGCTTTTTGTCATTATTTACTCTATGATGTCCAAAGAACAAATTAGAACAATACTGTATTGGATAAGAACTACCCATGGAACTATTATTTCAACATATCAAAAGGGTCAGCATTCTCAAACTTCCGTCACCCTCTTGGAAAGTAAAATGAATAAATTTACATACATAAATTAAACATCCTGAGACAGGCCACTCAGCATTGTCGAGGAAAACCTGGCACAGTTTTAACATTACATGCTGGGATCCAGGATATTAAACCCAAAATATTTAGTACCTGCCAGCCTTAATACCTTATTTCTGACTGTTCTGTAATATGCCCTTAAAAAAATAGTTTTATCAAATACCATGAGGCTGCACTGGAACACAGACCCACTAGATTAAGCCCTACCCTTGTTTCCTTACTCTGAATTCACTGCACTCCATAATAGTTACTTTCCATGACAATGACCTACTTAACTTTATTAATTTAAATCTAATAAAATATTTTATTCACAATTACACATTCTACTTAGACTGCATGACTGCTAGCTTTCTCATTACCAGCCCAAATCATGGCTTCAACTGGCCAAAATTTCTTTTCCCTTATGCTAAACTTGGCGTAATGGTTCTCTAAATGGAAAGGAACAGTTTTTAAAACTCAAATAAAACCACTAAAAATTTGGCTGGTCTCTAGAAAACAAATTCAATGTTTTCAATTTGAAAATCTAGGCATGGAGCCACTCCATCCAGCCCGCAGAGCTGGGGCACTTTGGCAGTGCAGGGCTGCAGGGGCTTTGTCCACGCTACAGAACAGTGGTGAGGAGCTGCACCAGGGCTAGGCAGCTGGGAGCAACACCAATGCCATTGCTTCTCCATGCACGTGGCAGCTTTCAGGTGCCTAGCCCGGTCACACCCCTCTACAACCTGGTCCTAACATCGGAACAGGCAAAAAAAAATTTGTAACCAACACACTGCCAAAGCTCTCCACCCAATATTGGACTGGAGCTGAGTTGTTCTAAGCCAAGATTCAGCCACTGCTCTAGAGTCTTTAATATGAGCAAATTCAAAAGAAAGTAAATAAATAAATAAAAAGTAAAGGAAGCAAAACAAGTGTATATCAAACTTGAGCTCCAGTCCTGTTTACCTAAGGTACTTCCCCACCACATTTACTTGTTTTTCTTCAATGCTTTTAAAATGAATCCAAATCAATACTTTGCAGTACTTCACTGTTCTCATGAAGTATTGTAAATATCATCCAGGGGAGATCAAAACTAAATGCACATTTTAGCTGATCTAACAAGGCAAGAGGAGCTGCTGCTGCTCAGGACTGTTCTTACACTCCAAATTTTAGATCTGCATGGTCCTGCAGCAATACAAGTTAGCTTAAATCAGCTTAAATCAGCCTAATGGGCCATGAATAAATCAGGCTTAATGAGGGAGCCATTTCACTACTCTTGTATTGTACATAATCATGCAGATACAACACTGCATCCAGCTTGTACCAGTATCCTTTGACAAATAACGCAATTGTCACATCTGCCTATATCCCAAGACAACAGACACCTAAAAGTAGTGCCCATCTATACGTTCTTTGCCGTTTAAAGAGCCCAATTTTTGAATTCTTGATATTTCAGATGCATATGTCCCAACACAAACTTCTGAGCCTGCTATTTCCAGTGGATCCTTGAACTTCTTGCTCCCTACTATTACTCTTGCCCCTTCCCCACCATGGATCTACGAGGCGAAATACTAACTTATGTTAATGGCAATTCCAATTATTTCAATGAAGCCAGAACTTCATCTAGATTTCTTTTTTCCATTAGGTCACTGCTGCATCAATTCCATATGCCAAGCACTGTCATTCAACCAGAAATGAGACCCACCTTGTAATTCCTAAATAACACCAATGAGAGATCAGGCTGCATAACACTTCAGGCCCACGCATCTAGCTACCCCAGATACTAAAAAAAGATATGCACAGCTACATTTCTCTGCTTGCTTAAGCCTGGATCAATCAATGCACATTTCACTAAACAACTGTCAGGCTACAGCCTTGAACCAGGGGCCAACGCAGCCACTTGTCCAGGCCTGCCACCCCATAGCTGACAACTCAAACTGGGAAGGGCTGTCTTGAAGCCTCCAGCAAGATCTACCCACTCTGTTACCATAGAGGCTGGTCAGGGTCAGCTAACCCTCCACTTCCCCCATATAAACCCCTATACAGGAACAGGCTGTGTCCAGGCAACAGGCTTCAACCTGACCTAAGACTGCTTTGCTGTTCCCTCCAGCTTGCTCTCTGCTCAATCTCTCAGTGCATTTGCACATATGCAAACGCTGCAGTGCCAGGCGCTTTTGAAAGTGGTGGTGCTTTTGAAAGTGGCTGTGGAACATGGCAGAGGTGCGCTTTTGAACTAAAACAGCTCAAAGGTGTTTTAGGTCAAAAGCGTACCACCGCCATTTTCTCCATGCTGACGCGCGCGCATTTTGTCACTTATGTAACTGCAAGTGATGCAGTGCCACGCGTGTCAGCTCCCATGTGAAGCAGACTCAATTAATCAAGTCTCCTCCGAAGAGTCAGATCTCCAGCACATCTGAGAACTAAAAGGTATGTGTATAAATACCCTACTTTTCTTGACCTGGTTTGCTCTCCAACTCTGCTTCCCTCTTTGACCTCCTGGCTTCCTAACTCAGCCAATTCCTAGACCCCATTCTCAGAATGACTTGGTTTCCTGACCTGGATTCTTATGCTCACTCCTCCTGACCCCAATCGGTACCTCGATCCCCAAGTAGCCCCAGATCTGGCTACACATCCCAGCATGGCAGGAATCAAGCACCCTCAACTTCCAATTCTGCAAATCCCAAATATCAATAGGATTGTATATAGCTCCATGCAGGAACCTGAGCTCAATAATGTGAGGGATAACAATAGGGTGCATGAAATTAAATCAGTTATAAACTGATCTCAAACCCATTAAAGCTATATTAATTACCAAAACTCATGCAAGAGTGGCACCTAAGTATAGTATGAATATTGGCATTCCATCTAGGTATAAAGTTTTGTCTTTGACCATGGAAATATTTTGTATAGTCTAACTCAATTCCATTTATTTTAATTATATTTTAATGTATATGCAATTTCTATCAATTATATTAATTCTTTATATTCACTTTCCACCATTTCAAGCCATGAAATAGACGTGTGCCACTGCATATCAAAGACATTATGTGCTCAAAAAATAAATCATATTTTAACTATCAATAGAAATGAAATTTTTCTATAGAAGCCAATTAATTTTAAGGAACAAAACCCAATACACACATCCTTGTTAAAGTAATAAGGAATGTCAGTTCTTATCATGAAATAATATACTCAAAAGAGTCATGAAATAATCTGTAACATCAGAATTTTAGATAAACAGGAAAACCTGTTTTTAGTTTTTCCAATTTACCTGGCCAACACCTTTTTCAAAGGATTTTTTGTGCTCAGTGAAAAATAAATGATTCCTAAAATATCCAAACAGCTTTTAACCATGGGATTACATGAAGAGTTTACATCCATCTTCTTCAGTAAAGGCACAATCTGCAATCAAAAAAACAGAACACCAAAATTTAAATAAACTCAAACTGTCTCCTCAGACATTACAACAACTAACTTCCCTTTAATGAAAAAATGGTATCAAAAATAAAAAGATCAAATGCACGTCTTGTTCCCTCCCCCACCATGCAAATTTCAAACATTAAAATTCAAAAATGTTTTCTGATTTGCATCTTTTCCTTTTCTTTGGCAGAGACATGGCATTACCAGTTTCCCAAAAGTGCTGTGAACCCAGGGCTCTCTCTGAAATAAACAAGGGCTAAGGGCTAAGGGCTTCCTCTGTATCAGGAAAAACAAGGCCTCTGGCATACATTCACTTCATGGCACGCTATTCCAACAATGGTGCCTCCTGCCATGCATGCCACGTGTACGGCAGGACACAATTCTGCGATCAGGAATTAGACCCCAATTATGCCATACTGCTTGCCAATGCAAGGGGAACCCAAGATCATGATCCCAGGCTCCCTCTGCAGTGGCAAATAGAAGGCCAGGTACCCAGTTAACCAGCACAGTCCCAGGGTTTGGATCAATCAGCTGATTATCAGTCTCAGCCCTGGGACCCCTCTGGAACCAGTTGGACAATCTTGGTGCTGTCTTGGGGCCAGCTTACTGTGGATTCCAGCCCCAGGACTGCACTGGGACCCATTTCAGAACCCTGCCATGCAGATGGCATCAAGCTATATTGGAGTGACACTGCCACATATTCAATTTAAAGCATGATGAAAACCAGCTGCAAAATTATTGCACCCATCTTGTGGATTGTGAGACTTATCTTCTGTTTTATAGTGCCAATAATTGCCTGAACGTGTGACCAGGTTACTATTTAAGACTTAATTAACTGGTTAACCTTATGTATAACATCGGCCAGGGGCCAAGGTATAACAAAATTATAATGCATCTGGCGAATTACTTATTTCTTATCAATTTGCCCCAATGAATAAAATGTTACTTACTAAAAACAGTTTTGTCATTAAGCAGCTGAAAAATCTGCCCAGATATCATCATATACTGTCAGTAACATATTTACCAGTAATCAATGCTAGTAAAGTCTTACCTGCTTAATACACTGGATTTGCTGGATGCCATCAGGCAACTGTACACAGTGCAACAGTAGAGAAGCCAGATTTTGCTTTTCAGCATCTACGAATGCTATGTTTCATTTGAGAAAGATAAGATATCTATATTAGGACTTTAAAAGATTAAAGAAAATCTCTGAACAAAAAAAATACGAACATTTATATAGCTATTGCTTTATCCTTTATTTTCCTGCACTAAATCTTCTCGCATCGTAATCATCATTAACACCACTTAACATGTAAAAGTCTACAATCTGTCCAGTGGACTGTACAGATCTTAATTAATAGGCAACCAATTCTTTAGTGTAAAAGCAACTGCACTGAATAAAATGGACAAACATTTAACCCAACAGCAGTCCATTGTTATATTGTAAAATAATCTACATCCATTTAAGAATCTATCTGAACAAATGCATTTTACAAGATATAAAGATATAATCCTGAAAGCACATACAGAAATTCAAGTTTATGTAACCTTTATAAGAAAATTATCAAGCTTGACAAAATCTAGTGCATAAAGAAAAAAGCAAATGGAACCAGAAGCTCTCTTAGATCTTATTTTAAAAAAATATGCAGAGTAACTCGTAACAGAGCCTATTTTAGAACCCTTAGCGTCTCAAAATGCCTATACACATGCATCGAGGCTGCTCCAATGTGCTGTAATTACAGTTCATCAAAGTAGACTCAATTAATCGAGTCTGCCGGAGCGTGGTAATTACTGTGCTCCAACAGATTCCAGCATCACGTGTATCACTGTCCCCACGCTGAAAAATAGCGGTGGGAGTGCACGGGGACACTGAAACATGTGATGTTCCAGGAGCTTTAATTAGAGTGGCGCTTGGAGGTACTCTAATTAAAGGCTCCCCCCTCCCCCCCTGAAAAAAATGAGAAAGAAAGGGAGGGGCAGTGGCAGGATGGAAATGGGTTTTCCATTTCCCATGGAAAAATGGGGGAAAAAATGGGGCAGAATATGAAAAAAAAATCCCAGATTTTCCCTTTCATCCAAGAAAAATGCAGATTTTTCATTTTAGCAAAGAAACACCCAGATTTTGCTCTTTTGCAGAGTTCCAGTCTGCAAGGGGCTGTGGGGAGTGGAAGGAGGGCAGTCAGGCAGGGGGCGCCATGTGCATGTACATGGCTGACAGGCATTCTGGAGAGCAGCTTCCACAGGTAAGTCTGGCGGGGGCAGGAATTGAGGCCCCCATAGGGAGGGAGTTGGGCAGGATGGGGCTGGGGCTGCTGCCCAGTCAGGTGATCTGTGGGGTTTGGGGCCCAGGGCTGCAATGCACGGCCGCAGGACCCTGGCAGGGAGCAGGACGGGGCCATGGATGGCTTGTCTGGAGGATGGGAAGGGTGGAGCTGGCTCCCCGCCACTGCACGCACTCCCAAAAAGCCAGGGGGAATCTGTGCCCCCCAGATCTGAGAGGGGCAGGTGTAAGCTTCCCACCCTGCTGCCCTCCCCCAGGGCCTTTGCAGCCCAGTGGGTGGGACCCGGTGCAACAGGACAGAATGGGGCCAGGCAGAGAAGCTCCTTGCCACTGCAAGCTCCATGCTGCCTTGGTGAGGTGCCCCCTGCCTAAACTCAAGGCACCCTTCAGAAAATTCCAGCTTTTACTCATTTTTTGACTATAGGAAAATGGTAGAGCAATTCTTCTTTTACAAAAAACTCAGAAAGACCACAACAGGTTCCTGAATGTTTTACATCCAATGGATTCAACACTATTTTAAATCTTTGGGTTTCTCTTGTGAATCATATATAGGTGTTTGCATACCTAACAATGCTAATAACGAAGGCCCTGTCACATGTTCAAATTAAAGCTGAATACAAACAAGTGATAAACTTATTAAACATTTTCAAGCACTAACTTTGTAGTTGGTTGGCTCCTTTTATAGCTCGATGTACATTTTTATGGTGTGATATTTACTTTGCGTGTGTGGCCACTCTAAATTTATTGAGAAATTAACCAGTATATTGCGTAATATGTGTAATGTATGACAGGACCCTAAGAGGCATCCCATAGCACCCTTAAAAAGATCTTGCATCGCTCTGGTTGAGAATCACTGCCCCGGGTCATATGTACCTCAGTACTTAGAAAACTCTACATTTAGACTGATGTATCTGGATGCTCCTCTTTGTTGGATTAAAGACACAGTGTCAAATATAGAAGAAGGAACCTTGTCTGCCTATGTCCTTAGACCAACACGGCTACAACCCAAACCCCTGCAAATACAGAAGAACACACTTTACCAACTTCCTTATTTCCAACTTGTACTGCATCAAGTTATACCTAGGGGCTTTGGAGAAGAGAAGACATATTTTTATAATTTAACTAAAAGGATATGTTAATATCAAATTGTTTCCTTTCCAAAAGTCAAAGAATAGTGATAGAAAAAGGCAAAGCTTTGAGCTTTTATTCTCCATTTTAAACTCTTCCAAAAACCAAACTTCTCACTACAACAAAAACTTAACCAGGCCTTTTGAAGGGGGATTGGACACTTACATAGGTAAAAAGAATGTCCAATTATCTAATGAACTTTAAAAAATTGAAAGGGATTTGAAACCTCATGGTCTCAGAGCTGAAGCTAATCTGAGATCAAAATAAAACCCAACGTTGAGGACAGATTATTCTGCATTCTGTTCATGGAAGAAGTTCTATAGAACTTGAAAGCATCTGGTTCTGGAACCCTTCAAAGACAGTGATATTTGATGAGATGGACCTTGGATGTGACCCAGGTCAGTAATCCCCATGTTTTTAACTGTAGTGCTAAAAAGTCAAAGTTTTCAGTAACGTTTCTCTCCTTGGGAACTCTTTGTATATGTACCACATTCCTGAAAGATCCATTTGTAATTAGGACCATCAATCACACTACTGACCAACAGCCACAAGGCTCTAGACCAGTGTTTCTGAATCCGTGGTACACATATGCGAGACACAGGCAAGAGGTACGTGGGTGCTGCGTTTTGGTCTTTGCCTGCTTGGGCTGGAAGTTCCGGCACTGTTCGTCTCACCATGTCTGGTATGCTGGGGCTTTCACTCCCCAGCATCAGCATGCTGTGGGATGGGGAAAGAAGCCCCACACAGGCTTATTTGCCCTGGGCCATGGTGGAAAAAGTGAGACTCAGCTTGCGGCGGTGCCATGGTAGGACTTCCAGTTTCACTTTTGCCACATCAATCGGCAGGGTGTACGTAAGGTACCAAAGGTTGAGAACCACTGCTCTAGACTAAGAATGAAATAGGAGTTGTTTGAAGACTAATACCTTTTTGTAGTGAATTTTGAGCTTGACACTCTCAGAGAGAAAGCATTAAAAATCTATTTCAATAGCCATTCAAATAATTTTACAAGAAGAAAACTATGTAAGTTAAATGTGGAGAAGAACAACAAGACTTACACTGAAGTCTTTCAACTTCCTTGTGATCAAGAACAAGTGCATCCACCTGGATTTCTTTTTTCTTCTTTAAAACCATTTTGGTGAATTATCTGCTTTAAAAAAAAGTATTACAACTTTAAAACCTTCAAATAGTGCTGCTTAGAAGCATAACTAAACCACAGACCATCCAATTTGAGATACTAGCATTGCTCTTTATAATCTCCTAATGCTGTCTGTTTCTCCTCATTTTAATCTACACAATCATTTTTACAAGACACACGAAATGTTAAGTTTATTTCTGTTTCATTTTGTCACTGTCATGAATTCCAGGCTTTTCATACAAAATTCAGTAGGACTTCATAACACAAAATGGAAACGACAAGATACAGCATAGCTGCAAATTAAAGACAGGGTACAAGACAGACAAAACATAAAACCTGTCTACCTGACAGTTTATATGGCATGTGGTACCATGACACCTGAGTACTCTTTGCCCTTGGATGACAGTCTGATAAAAACTGCTAGGACAGCA